TGTACTCATGGACATTCTTATTCATAATAATATAATTCATATAATTCATGCCACAACTGTTTGTGTACGCACTAATTGATAGAAAAGGCATAGAATTGCAATTGTAGAATTTCCCATCTATTGCCATTCAATGTAGACACTTTTTTATGTGTTGAATTGTTGATCAATTCTGTGTCCAATGACGCAGCTTGCAACGAAACAAATATATGTATATATAGTGCACCTATCAAGAGGTGAGAGGTCAACTAATTACTATTCATACGAGTTAATTAGTTTATCTTCCGTTACGAAGGTTGTCGTTACTTAGCTGTTGTCGTACCCTCAGTCACATCAGATCGCTTATAACTTAATCTTCCCGACACCTCGTATATCCAAAGTACAGCTTCGACATGACTAGCACAGTAGTTGAAAGTTTTGTGGATGCAAAGATCGAAGAATACAAAGTGGTCGTGTTCTCCAAGTCGTACTGTCCTCGCAGCAGAATGACAAAAGCAATACTGAGTAAATACGAAATAACAATGGAAGTGATAGAAATTGATGTTCGAGTCGACGGTGAAGAAATTCAATTCTCCACACTATAACTGGTGCATGATCGGTAAGTACTGCACTTTACAAAAAAACGGTCTGTCTCGAATTTGAAGTCTTTTAATAGTAATCAATAGTTTTTAATAACTTTTCTTTATAATTTGTGAAGAAAATCAATTAAAACATTTTAAAACTCGAGATAATGAAGTAATACATCTAGAACTATATTTTGTGAATGGGGTTCGGACCTTTTTGTAAAGGTTCGGTACTAAGCTTACCATACGCTAATACATTTGCAATAGAACGTGTTCTCACATGAGAACTGCGCGTCCACATCGAGCCACATAAGTAGTATTCATTAACATTTTCCAATAATTCATGACAACCATGGAAACACATCTTTTATTTTAACTACACATTATATATGTTGACTTTTTTTTAGTTATGATGAGACCTTTTCTACTATATAATATTAAATGTCCCAATTTCATTAAATGTCTCTCCGTGTTTTATATGAATTGTGCTTTTCTTTAATATGGGTAGGAAGGAATTTGCAATATAAATGTGTCTGCTTGTCACTAATGAATATGGCCACCGATATTGAACATACAACATGGCGAATGGATGATTTTTTTATTTGGGTTTTGTGAATAACAGCAGCTGCATTACATTAATACAAATTGCAATAGTCAAGAAATCTGAAATCTGATTTTTTTATATTTAAATTGTAATACATTGTTTTACTGTGAAGATATAGTTCCCAAAACAATACTTATAACAGACATAACATTTGCTCCCGGCACAACCAACCCGTTTTCTTCATCTTCATGAATATTTATAAATTTCAAAATTCAAACTGAAATGAAAGGTTTCTATTGGTTGGTTGAGTAACATTTGAACGTTTTCAAAGACGACACTGCACACTGTGCTTGTCGATTCGCTGGTTGAATTCAACTGGCATTGTTAATAAATATTTATGAAGATAAAGGGAACGGGTTTGTTGTGTGTTAATATCACATATTTGTCGTGTCTGCTAGAATTGCACCATAATATAATGAGAACACATTTTATATCCTTTCTCACAGGTTTAACTCTGTAGATTAACGTTATGCCGTTTGTATTTTGTTTTTCCTCTAGTGTTTTATTTATAGACTTTTAACTTAGTCACATTTTGTCTGAATCGTTTGAATAACAAATCCAACATGATTCCTCAATGATAAGTTTGATCAATACAATTTTTCGAACGTGGGTGTCACTGTGTTTGAAGTGGAAACCCAAGAGTTTTCACGCGAGAACACGTTCCATCGCCCAAGTATTGGCATATGGCAAATTACTCTATTGTTATTTGTTGTATTTACATGCACATTAATGTATTATCTTGAGTTTTTTCTCATAATAACAAAGATTTTTCATATTGAATGGACCGTGCTTTACTTTTCCCCTTAGAGTCCTGCATTAACTTCATAATTCACACACATTGATTATGTTTATCTAAAAAAATAACTCCGCGATCTCATTTTCAACAAATGACCTTGTTCAGTAATAAGCAACCTATTCACAAAATGAAAAACAACATATTCTCAAAATATGTGCGTGTTTTCGCATTTTTCGTGACCATGAGTTAACTAGTATTCTCTAATTAAAAGAGAATTAATTAGCAATAGAATAAATACAATAATTATCTACAATGACCACTCGCATTCGAGTGTACTGTAGATCATTTAATATTTCATTCCTATTAAAAAATGTCACAATTGTTGTTTGCAGGTACCTCGTGTGTTCTTTAATGGTGAATGTATCGGAGGAGAATCTGAAGTAACTTATTACGAAAGACAAGGGACATTCGAACAAAAGCTGAAAGACGCAGGAGCTTTGTAGTTTACAATAGAATCTTGGAGTTATTTCAAACATGTCGATTTAAAGAAAACCATATTTGTTTTGGCGTGTTTTAAGTACTCCATATGATACTGTAATGTGTTAACATAAGTAACATAAGTATGCACATGCTTCTAATGTATTACCCTGTCTATTATAAACACCCTTCTTACACTGCATTGCATTGTTATGATTAAAGACTTATCTGAACTCGTGAGATACGCTAGTCATTCTTCATATATTAGACGAGTAGATCTTGCCTTCAAAGAAAAGTATTAGTAAATCTAGTCAAGATTTTCAATTCAATTGATATATCAATGTGATTATAATAAGATTGGAATATCGAACCTTATTCTCAAATTGCCAACAAGTTCGTTGAGAGCCAGGAGACTTATTTGTGTACTCAAATAGTGTTATATTCTGTACTGTCATCGCGTCCGTTGTTTCCCCTGGGTATAGTAATTTAAACAGTAAACGCAATGGTGGTAGTTTGCATGTTGTTTTGTTTTCAAATAAAATAGACATTGCACGCAACGTTACAGCATAAAATTCGAAGATCCGCCACTATCGGGAACAATATATGCCCACGTGTTTGTTTTAACAGAACCCTAATGAAAGTCACATACACCATTTGGACGCATATCAAGCAACAGAATGTATGACGGAAAATGTACCAAAACAGTCTCGCAGAGTGATACCAAATACACGTCTATTTGTGTATTGCATTTCCTATATGAGGGTGAACAGAGTGACCATGTAACTTTTTAGTTGAAATATATCATGATATTCAACTATTTGCTTGACACGTCTTTACTCTTTCTTACTTCTGCAGCTATCTCAACAAAAGTTTCAGTTCGACGAAGATCTAACTGAACTGAAACATCGCAAATCTGACGATGTGCACCCAAAGCAAAGTTTAGTTCATTATACAATAATGCTAACATTAGATGACAGAAAGCAAAAATGTGCGAGTACGTGAACGTTTGAATGTTATTTGTTGTTTATTAGAGAGATAAATGCTACACTTCATTTACTGAAAAGATTCTTTGTTTGAGTAGGTGATGATTTTTGTCATCGAGGTCTACTCACCAAATATCCACTTCCCACATTACAATCCAAATGAGGTCCACACTTTCAAAATAGGAAAATCGACGTAACAAATCATGTTGCAATACTACAATTCTTGGAAAATATCAAATTGAACTATGGAAAATTAGCCTAGCACCGAGATTCACGTATACATCATATATAACATGTATCATAGTTTTTGGAATGCTTTGAAGACTAATGTTTCCGTTTTGATGAATGCATTTTGCTTATACAGATAAACGCAGTTAATTAACTTTATTCAGAGGGTAGCCTGAGGTTTTATATTAAGCCTTGATCTTTCTGGATTTTTCGATTTGTGTTGTACTGTGTACATTAAGTGACATTTTCGCATGTGCTGTTACAATGTTAGTTGTGTCCAATAGTACGTTGTCGTCCATTAGGTAGTGTAAACGTTTTTAATACACATGGATCTCCAGGAAATCATACTGGTTAACTATAAATACATACAATTGCTGGGAATGAATCGACCAAAACTTGTGTTCGAACATCAGCGATCATTTGTTACATGGTGTCGCATACGACTTATTTACCACTTCCGTGTCACTGAGAATGTTCTAGAACCGTACTGTGTCTGGGTGGAATATTCTAGATTGTGTTTAGAAAATGGTTGAATAGGTAATAGAACACTGTAGGAGGCAATAGAAGGTAATGGAACATTCTAGAACTTGGTAGTAAGTTCCAGACTCATTATGTATGCTGATGTAATGGTCTATTTATAGACAGTGGGGGTATATATAGGGGAGTTGTTCAGCACTGAGTTCAGACTGGAGATCTTGTTGAATTGTATTGGAGTTTAAGTATCTAGTTATTGGAGTAGTGGAGTTTACCGCGTTATTGTACTTGATGTTTGCAGAGTATAATAATACCAGTACCAGTTGAAACCTCATCTGTTGGCTCAGTGTTCGTATTTTATCATCGCAGCCAGGGAAGTCTTTT